TAATAAAATAGAAAAATAATAAAATGTAAAAATTTTTTTTGGAGACAGGGTCATATTATGTAGTCCCAGCTGTCCTGGAACACACAGAGATCTGCCTGCCTCTGCCTCCCGAGTGCTGAGATTAAAGGCGAGTGCCACCACGCCCAATGTGGTTTGATTTTTAGATGAAGCAAAAATCCACTGAGATGGGGAGATGGAAGCCATTAATTAAAAAAAAAAGTTAAACAGCTGTATGTAAAATTCAACTTCATAGCTTCTTCGTCTAAAGTTTGTGTATGGACATAGCAAGTCTGTTTTACCGATGATATTATTAGGTGTAAGTAAGAATGTGCTAATTTTACCATGGCTTGTAGCATTTTTAGTTTTCAATAGTATACAAGTACCATTTCTGTACTCAGAAGAATAATCTAAGAATGCATAATCTATGGAAAAATCCATGACTTTCTAATAGTTTGAATGTTACTTATGGTCATCTATCATAGCAAATGTGTTAGAAAAGGGACAGATAGATCTGATAAAACTACTGGGAACTGGAGGTTTATAAAAAAAGCCCTCAACTTGATTCTCTGACTCTCCATAATGTTGTGACTTACTTGAGATCCATTTACTCACTTTCATGTCTTTCAACTGTACATTAAAGATATTGTCTTGACTTTTTCTTATTGGAGGCATAACAATTCTCATTAATATCAGATATCTCAGTGTAAAATGTGTTTTGCTAAATAAACTCACACAGCATACAGGATTCTAGGCACCTTTGCATAATAATCGACCTATTTCTTTTTCACCAGGAAGGATCAAGGGTAGTGGTTTTTAGGATCACTACTATATATGCAAATTTGGTTCCTACAAAGCAAGCAGCCATTTTAGGATGTACGCATTCACACTCTGAGTGCCTTAAAAATGAACCAGGGAACAGAAAAATTATTTTCACTAAGCAAGCACTCAATTTCAGTTGATTCTGACAGCAAACCAATTTCATGTCATTTCTTTCAAAATTCATGTTTAAGTTATATATTTTGGGAACTGTTCACATTTTAAATTTAAAGTTGCTTTTTAAAAGTTTAACTTTAAAAAAAATTGAAAATCACTTGGCATATTTGACTGTTACCTATTTGGAACAGAGTTAATTAAATCTAGAGGTTAAAAGTGTCTAAGTTTAGGGACTGTGGAGATGTTTTGGTAGGCAGAGTACTTGTTGCACAAGTATGAGGATCTGAGTTTGGTTCTCCAGAACACTTAAAAAAGCCCAGCACAGTGGGGTGTGCCTGTAATCTCAGTTCTGGGGTACAGGAGGCAAGAGGTATCCCAGGGCTTGCTGGCCAGTCACCTAGCTGAATTGGTAAGCCAAGCTCCAGGTTCTGCCTCAAAAGTAAGGTGCAGAATGATTGAGGAAGACACTCACCATTGACTTCTGGTGCATGTGCATGTTAATGCACACATAAACCTACACACATATGCATGTGCACACGTACACACATGTCCAAGTGGCTATAACTTACTATGACTAGACCTTTAGGTGAGCTATCTAGGCTGGATAAGCCCCAGTTTTTGTTTCTAGTTTTGTTATAAGGTAGAGCAGAAACTATTTACCTCGCAGGGCTTAGATGAGCAGAGGAGACCATGCTTAGAAACTTGCCTACTGTATATCTGAGCTCACTAAATGACAGTGATGGTGACTCTGAGTCCTGACGCATTCTTCCTGACAGAACAACCCAGGGATACTGAGGGTGCTCCTCTGCATCTCCCTACACATGCCCAGGGGGATTCTCAATCTTACAGCACGACACACAGCTACTCCCCTCATCTCTTAACATCTTAGTAGATGGCACCATCATTGATCTAGGAGTCATTCTCAGGATCGTTCATACCCTCCTTTCCACCACTGTATCCTTTCAGCTCTACCTTCATATTTTGCATCCTACCACTTCTCAGTTTATCACTGAATCCAAGTCAGCATTTTCTTTAGCCTGGGCACTGCAATCTTGATATATCCTAACTCCTTCTATCCATGCTTGACTTCTTGAACCCTTCTGTTCGCTTTCTATTAAGTTGTTTGAAACTTTCAAATACACAAGAGTCCAAACCCATCACTGTCCCAGTGACCCTGGTGATTAGGCTTCTGCTGACCTCATTTTCCAGTGCCCCCCATTTTCCATTCACTCAGCTCCAGTCAGACTGTCCAGCTTCACGATCCCATGAGGATCTTGTCCTTATGAAGAGCACCTCAGCCTGCTGAACACACTTCTGCCCCTGCAGCTTCCCCACAGCAGGCCTTCTGTGGAGGATTCCTTTCCTGGATCATACACTGTGCAGCCAGCTTGTCAGCTTGCTGTTCTGCCCAAATATCAGGCCTTCTCCATCGGAAAAGCACAGCCACAGCAATATCCTATGTTTGCTTACAGTACTGTCAGTACTTATTTTAAACGTGTGTGCATGTATACATATGCATACATTCATTTATAGTTTATCTCCAAACACGTATGTAAGCTCCATGACAGTGAGGACTTCATTTTTTTGACTGCTGATTTCCCAGTGTCAAGAAGAATGTTTGAAGGAGGTAAAGTAGGGCAGTTCAGCCCCAATAAGCACTATTAGCTGAGGACTAAGTACTTAGCACTACCAACTTAAGCACTAAGCACTACCACCTTAAGCACTGAGCACTTGGCTCAATGGTACAGTGAGCGTTCAGCATATGCAAGGCCCTGGGTTCTATTCCCTAGCATGTGTATGTACTTATATATTTATGTATTTCACATACTTATATTTATATATACACATACATATATATGTATAAAGGGACTGGGGGTATAGCTCAGTTATAGAGTGCTTGCCTAGTATTTGGGAGGCCTTGTGTTTAATCTCTAGCACTGACAAAATAACAACCTCCAGCCTCCCCACCCCCACTTTCCTCTCCCAATAAAACCCAGAAAGAAGTGCTTCCTATGTATTCGATGATTTGTAGACATGAAAGAAAGAAATTCTTTTCAGTACGTGGAGAGTTTTTTTCATGTCAAAGTTGGCTTAGGCAAGTGCTCTAATCACTACTTAAACAACTACTAACAAACAATGAAGTACGTAGGAAAGTACAGAGCATTCGATTTTCCTATATTTCATACACTTTGCAGAAGACTTACAGGTCTGAGTTTGATAACATGGGTTATAAAATTATTTTTATTCTGGAGATCTATAGAATATTTTTATTCAAGAATCTAGCAGCCGCATTATAGAAACAAAAACTATATTCTATCAGTGCTGGAAAAATAATTAAAAGCAATCTCAAAAGTGTCTGCATTTAAAAAAATTCAAGTGATTCACTATTTGATTAAAATACTTGTAACACGTGAAAAGAGCAAACACTTCCTTTTGTGTTACTTATTATTATGTGGTTCTGTGTAGCAAAATCATGATATCATAAGAGAAAGTTGTTTGTGGACTTATATTAAAAGGGAAAAATCACATCTGAGATTTAATGAAATAATAATTTTCTCTCTCAACAATTCCTTTATAAGCAAACGATGGCCCTAAAATAATAACTAAACACATGATACTTAAATTCACCATAAAAATAAAGTTGCCTTAACTTATAGCTACTATGCACTATAAAAATAATTTTTTTCCAGTTTTACTTTATGTGTAGGTGTATGAGCCAGCATGAGTTTATGTGTACCACATTCATGCAGGTACCCTGGGAGGTCAGAAGAGAGCATCAGATACTCCCTGGAACTGGAGTTATGGTTTGTGAGCCACCTGATGTGGGTGCTCAGAACTGAACTTGGATCCCCTCCAAGAGAAGTAAGTGCTCTTAACCATTGAGCCACCTCTCCCAGCTCCCTATAAAAATAATCTTGTACTGTGAAAACTACTAGACCCTATCACTACAAAGCCATGTATGAATAAGGTTCCAGCAGATATCAGAACCTCTCTCGCTACATGCCCTCTCCTTAGGCCACCTGCCACTCTGTATCTTTCTTATGTGGGTGCTGGGATCTGGGAGCAGGGGATTTTTATCTGCTTCATCTCTGCAATCTCCTCCAGTGTTAGCACAATAACTGGCTACTTAGTATGTATCTTATGATGAAAGAATCAATGACACAGACTGTAATTGCAGATAGACATTTGGAGAGTTCTAATTACTGCTTTTTAATACTATATCCTATGAGAAAAAAGTGTAGTGACTAAAAGCAGTTTATCTGCTTTGCGCCACTGTATTTATCACAACCAGAATAAAGCAGTCATTTGTGCAGCTATTTGCTCAATATCTATCCTTTCCACTTTAGATTTCATAGGGTAAGGATGATGTGCAGCTTGTGGCTTCTTAAAGAGTTGTTTTTTTCTTTCTTCCAGTGCTGGGGATCAAATCCAGGACTTCACACATGCTATAGTAATGCTCAGCCACTGAACTACAGCCCCAGCCTCAATAAGATTTTTTTTTTTAAAGTCTTTTTAAGACAGGGTCTTCCTGTAGCCCCAGCTGGCCTAGAACTCACGATGTAGACCAGGCTGACCTTGATCTCATAGCTTGCTTTCACCTCCTGAATGCTGGAATTAAAGGCGTGAGTCACCATGCCTGGGTCTCAATGAGTATTTTTGAGTCAATGCTTGCAGTTAGGCTGTGCTATGGCACATGCATCTTACAATTGATAGTGTCAAAGTATAATGTATAAAAAGGTTGGAAGCATTTTTTTCCAAGCACCACCTCCTGAATGCTGGAATTAAAGGCGTGAGTCACCATGCCTGGGTCTCAACGAGTATTTTTGAGTCAATGCTTGCAGTTAGGCTGTGCTATGGCATAATTTGAAAATGAGTCCACCAGGCACACAGCTTCACAGAATCTAACAATTTGTTTTTACTGGCTTTAGGACACCTACTTTTTCACATGCATCTTACAATTGATAGTGTCAAAGTATAATGTACATAAAGTGCATTCTTCCAATAAATGATTGTATTTTCTAATTACTTAATAATAGTTACTGTATATAAACACTTCAAGAACTTACATCAATTAAATCCGAAAGATCATGAATGTAATACTTGAATACCGAGGCATTGGTTGCTTCAAGTGTTAGGAGATACTCATTCCGTGCTTTAATTGATTTCAGCTTATTTTCTGAATACTTTGCTTGTCTCTGTAGAAGATACAGGCATCAGGGAAGAAAGCAAAGTTATTTTAAATAAGATAGAATACACATAGAATTTTATTAATTTAAGCAATTTATTCCACATATACAAACGACCCTTAAAGTCCTTTGTGAAAAGTACATTTTGAATGTGATTTAAATAACAAACTAAAATTACCCAGCTATGGGAATAACAATGTATTTGGGCTCTGGGCCCATTTGCACTAAAATCTCTTTGTTAATATTCCAGTTCCCCACATTTGTACTGAATACTTGGCATTCGCCACGAAATGATGTCCAGCTGTTATGACTTGATTTTTATGTGTCTTAAACAGTTTTCATTCCCATGGGAGGAAATGCATGTCTTTTCATAGTAATTCACAATATGTGTATCAGCTGTTTTGTTTCGTCCCGGCTTCTAGTGCAGTATTGTCTCCTCAAAGGAGGACAGCAGAGCTCAGCACTACTTTTCACTTACCTTTTCTTTCATTTTTTCAATTTTCTTCACAGAGCTGCGCCGCTGATGCCTCTCTTCTAGTCTGATGTGGAAGACAGGATCTCCAGACCTGCCAATCTGCTTTCCTTCTTGTTTCTCGGCCTCTTTCAGCTTGCTCTCTGCACTGAGGCTCTCTGAGTGATACATATGGTATGTTTTCATCACCTGAGGAAAAGTGACCCAAATTGTTGAAAGATGTCTGCCTATAACTTTCAGGGTGAATGGGAACTATTACAGGACATGCATGTTAAAAATATCACCTTCCAACTTGCAGGGGAAAACCAGATTATTAGCAAAACAGATGAATTACGGCCTCCAGCTTCTACATAAACCAAACAAATATGCAAATTCACCTGCCAGGAAGAGGCACTTAAGGGACAGGTTTTGATGAAAAAAAATGATTTATAGCAATTTATGTACAATTTTCCAATGTATTTAAAAAGTTCTCCTAGCCTGGCCTGGTGGCATACATCTTTAATCCCAGCACTCAGGAGGCAAAGGCTGGTGAACCTCTGTGAGATCAAGGCTATCCTGGTCTACATAATGAGTTCCAGGTCAGCTGAGGCTACAGGAAGACCCTGTCTTAAAAAAGAACATTCTCTGTTCTCTTAAGCTTTCATGTTTTCCCAAAATCTCCTCTGCACTATGAATTGGCAGGATAAACCATTTATTCATGAACAAGTTTTAGCCCAACCAAAACTCCGTTATTACAATCTTTACTAAAGAAATTTTTATTGAACAAAATCTATTTGTCAAAATTCCAACATAAACATTAAGGTTCACACATAGGTTTAGCATTAAAAACTATTTTTCAGATCACAAACTAATACTTTATATGGAATGTAGAAAAATAAATGATACTACAAAGAAGGCAAGGAAAATTAAAAAAGCAAACAAAAATAACACTGTTAAGATATGGTATATAGTGCAAGTCTTTTTCCTATGGAGACACACACACAACACACACACACACACACACAATGGTTCCATTTTAGAATGCCATACATTATTTCTCCTGTTAAAATTTGAGATCATCCAATACATATAATTTTAATGTGTTTTAAAATAAGTATATTGGAATGTTTACCTATATCACTAAATAATTCTTTTGTGTATGTGTGTGTATTGTGTTGTGTTGTGTTATATGTGGTGTGTACTTGCTAATACAGCTGTTGGCATGTGTGCATGCAGGTGTGCAGGCATGTGTGTGTGCACACATGTGAAGGCCAGAGCTGAGTATCTTTTCTCATTGTTCTTTACCCTTATTTTTTGAGATAGGGTCTCATTGATTCAGCTAGACTGGCTAGCTAATGAGTGACTCCTGACACGGGGTTACCATTGTCAGCTTTATTTATTTATTTTTTGACATGGGTTTTAGGGATCTAAACTCAGGTCCTCCAGCTTGTATGGCAGCTACTTTACTGACTGAGCCATCTCCCCTCTATCAGCAAATAGTCTTCTAAAACATAAGTTAAAGGGCTGTATAGTGTGTCTTTAAATGACTGTGCCATACTTACTCAACTAATTTGCTATTGTTGACTATTTTAGGATTATTTCAGCTTCTTGCCTTACAAATACAAGTATGCTACAGACCCTTCATTTCATTTTTTGGAAACAACACATATAACTTGTACTTTAGTGGCATTTAAGAATATATGGAACATGAAAATTTTGTAATGTATGTTTTCCATGAATATTATATAATGAATCCTTAATTATTTTAAAAAATTGTGTATATTATTGTTACAAAAATGTCCATAAACAAACTTGTATCATATTTTCTGGAACAATTTTCCAAAGGTAGACTTACAGGGTAAGAGAACATGTATATTTTTGGTAGCTTTAAAACACACTACTAATTTTATACTCTTTCATTAAAACACAAAATCCAAAGTACTCCAAATAACTAGTGAAGCTATTTAATAAATATCTTTCTAGGTAATAAAGATATTCATTACTCTTATAATATCTATATAGAATCTCCATAGTCTCACAAACAGAAGAATAGTAATCAATTTTTAAGAAACTGGAAATGACAGTTTTCCCATATAATTTCGAAGTGATGTTACACATAGAGTTAGACATCTGAGCAAATTCTAAAGCCCTGCATTTTGTGTACAATTGTACCCCTTAAGAGAAACAACATTCATAGGTGTGATATCCAATGCAACTGATATACTCAGGAGCGCATCAGAACTTTTGTGTTCACAGAAGAGAGCTTTTATTTCACTTGCAAATAACCAAAAGTTACCCAGATTCAATTTTATAACTAAGGTGTAGTTATGAAAAAGCTAAGATTAATAATGTTTCAAAGTGATGAACTTTCCTTTTCTCATTTGAAAAGATGAATTTTTAAGAAGTTTGAAATTGGGGGCTGGAGAGATTTAGAAGTTAAGAGCACCGGCTGCTCACAGAGGTCTGGGTCTGGAATCCCAGTACCCAAATGGCAGCAAACAACTGTCTGTAACATAATCCAGTTCCAGGGGATCCAATGCCCTCTTCTGGCCTCTGTAGGCATTGCACAACATGGGTGCACTTACATGTACGCAGGCAATACACTCATACATATAAAATAAAAATAATATTTTTTTTAAAAAAGGATTAAAACTGCATGCATTGCTGGAATAAATGTATTTATTTAAGTTGAACCACGCAAGATCGGTATTTTTATAGGTTAGAAGGAAAGGTAGAAAACTAACATTTTCTTGTGGTCCAACAACATACTTTTTGAGGTGACTATTTGGAAAACTAAAATATGGGATTGGTGGAGAGCCTTACTTTTATAAAACCCGATGATCTCTTTCTTTAAACATTTGAGGTCAGTACCAAATAAAAACAAAGTAAGGCTAAACTACCAAGTAGTGGCAGTTTTTGCTGAGCCACAAGCTATTGGAAGGTTGTCTGTTTTTAGTAATTACTGGACCTGGAGGAAGTTTGGTTGGCTACTCTAGTTTAAAAGAAAAGAAAATAGCATTAGGAAGCAGCTGGGCAGCTGGGAAGAAGAAGGGAGTCACCCTGCAGCTGGGCAAACAGCAAGGTCAATGAATCTACAGCACACCTTGCATTTCTAGGCTGGGCTCTGTTTATACTCCCTGCCCGAAGCAAACCCCACATACCATTTAGGCCCTGGTGCCAGTTATATCTTAAAATGACAAGGAGAAAAAAGTCCAAACACACACATACTCTATTCTCAGAGAAGCTTAGTTCTCTACTTTTCTTGCTAATAGAAAGGAAGAAATAACAACATAATTACCACCACAATTAGATGAAAAGACATCCCAGATAGCACTGGGCATCTGAGAAATTCACTTTCAAATTAATAAAAAAAAGACCTGTCCTCTTAACTCTTGTATTACTTGGATACTGAAGGCTGCATTAAGCAAGTAGTTTACACGAACTAAGCCTCGAGTAGGAAAAAGCAGACTGAGTCAACTGCCAGCATAGTATTTTTTAACTAGTTTGGGTTAAAATAACTTACTTGAGTCTGATCTATTTTAACACTAGCATGAAAGGGGGATATTTCATCCTAATGGGGGCTTAGCACACTGAGGATTACTCACCCAGTTCAATAGTAATTTCCAGAGAATTCTTTGTTCAGGTTTCCAAGTTGGCTCAGGATTTCCACTCCTCTTAAATGTTAACAGTTATGATGAATGAATTTTAAAAGTTGGGCAGAAAAACACTAAAAGCTTTTTGAGAATTCTAATTGCAGATAATGAATGCAAGTAGAAGCCGCATGATTTAAAATGGAAGTTGACAGAAGTTGAGTGTGTTTGTATTTAAAATTAAAATAACAGACAGCTCTCCTTGTTCTTCAGAGATGAGAACAAACTTTTACTTTTTGAAGGTGCAGCTTGAATATGTACTGCAAACAGCAGCTTCTCCTTCGGTTAATGCAAACACATCTCTTTGCATCCCAAATGGCTTGATGGGCATGTATCCATTTAAATGTAGCCTAGTAGAATATTTTCCTATTTGAATTCTTTTCTACTAAAACTTCATGCAAAATTTCCCATTCAATACACTTAAGTTATCATTCCTCAATTGCAAGAAAAATAGAGTTCAGTAGAAAGTGATCCACATTATGGATTTCTTTATTTGTGTGTGTGTGTGTGTGTGTGTGTGTGTGTGTGTGTGTGTGTGTTGTATGCACATGTCTATGTGTGGGCTTACATGTCCATGTATGGGTGTGTGGAGGTCAGAGGAGTAAGTCTAGTGTCCTGCTCCATCCTCTCCACCTATTCCCTTGAGACAGGGTCTCTCACTGAACCTGGAGTTAAGTTGGTGGCCAAAAAAAGCCCCAGTGATCCTCCTGTCTCTGTTCTCCCAGTGCTGGGGTAACCAGTGTACAAGCATCCACACTGGCTTTTTATGTGGGTTCTGGAGATCTGAACTCAGTTCCTCCTGCTTGAGCAGCAAGTGCCCACTAAGCCATCTCCCCAGCCCCACATCAGGGACTTCTTTGTGAGACTGGGAAATTCTACTTAACATAGAAGCTGTTAGTTTTATTTCTTACTGAAAGGCCCACATCGTGTATCTGACATTACTTTTGTATTTCAAATAAAAAATAGGGGCTGGAGAGATGGCTCAGTGGTTAAGAGCACTGCCTGCTCTTGCAGAGGACCCAGGTTCAAGTCCCAGCACCCACATGGCGGCTACAAACCATCCTTAACTTCAGTTCCAGGGGAATCCAAAGCCCTCTTCTGACCTCCACAGCACACGACACGGATGCACTCACATACATGCAGGCAATACACTCATATACATAAAATAAAATCATAAATAAAATATAAAAAATTAAAATATCTGCAGTAAGTCTTAATAGTGTAAGAAATTACTATAAATATGAAAACTACAGAAATTAAAGGAGATTGGTGGATTTAAGTTATTATAATTTCCACTTTTTGGCCTGTGGCTCAGAAGTTAGAAGACATAGATTACAGGGATGGATCATCAATCACTAAGAGTAAGTGAAGACTCTTTAACAACTCTGCTCACCTCACAAGGTCATTGTGGATGCCAAATAAGCTTCACTGATTATACATCATATATGTATATATCTATGCTTATATATACTACCAATTCAGGTAGTTACACAGAAATATATGCATATTTAGCTTAGTAAGCACACTACAAAAAATCTATATTACCTGCTAGACATTGTT